GAGGACAAGCTTCCTAAGAAAAAAAGGCCTGTAGAGATAGCGTCACAAGATGAATGACCTCAGGAGTCTATTTGAGAGACCGTGTCATGCTAGCAAAGTTCTAGGGACGGGAGCCTTTTCCTCCACGAGAGTATAAGAATGAAACACCAGTCCCTTAGTCTGACTCTCAGAGAGAACCTCAGGCTGATGAGCAATAAGTCCAACAATTTCGTTTCCTTGGCCATGCTGAGCCCCACAGGAAATCTCAGACTTTCACATCAGGACAAGGCCCCACAAGAATGTCGCTGCACCCAGAGCTCCGTGGTTTGATGCCACTAGAGAATTTCCTAGGGAAAGGCTCTGAGGGAGATTGCTCAGCAAGACAGAAAAATGCTGCAGTGAGGCCAGCAAATGCTTTCCTGGGGCCCTGGTGGAGGTTTGGATTTAAAATGTCCCCTGGAATTTAAACAGCATAGCCCCCTTGTAGCTCACAGCAGCCCTGTTACTGAGTAGTTTCTCAAGGATTTGCCACTTCAGGATGTGGGAATTGGGATTGTTTGCTTTACAGTTTTACAAGTTGGCCTAATGAGGCGTAAGGGTCTGTCCTGTTTGTGGGATAAGGCTTTGATGCCCATTGGGATCTATGAATTTTAGATCCATACATATCCAGGGGCAGAGGTTAGAGGGCAATGCCAAACACGACAAACAACCTTGAAGGAGAATGGTCAGTCTCTGCCTTTGCTTTCTTTGTAGGGTGTTCCTCAGCCATTGAAGCCGGCAGGAAGAATTAATTAAAAAGGAGCAGTGTGTGTGTACAAGTAAATCAGTAAGGCACCATTTCCCATAAAAAACACTTTTTAAAAATTTATTTTTATTGATTTCAGAGAGGAAGGGAGAGATAGAAACATTAATGTTGAGAGAGAATCATTAATTGGCTGCCTCCTGTACACTTTCCACTGGGGATCGAGCCTGAAACCCTGGACATGTGCCCCAAACCTTCCTGGTTCATAAGTCAGTGCTCAAACACTAAGCCACACCCGCCGGGCAATAAACACATTTTTATTCAGCTGGTATTGAGTTCCTATTATGTACCATTCATTCTTCTAGACATGGACTATATCAGCAAACAGAACAAAGTCCTGCCCTCATGACCTTTTCTTATAAGGGAGGACAGACAGACAAATTCTGCTTCTGGTGGTGATAGGTGCTATGGAGGAAAATCAGGGTGAGAATAGGGACATAATCAAAAGGCATTTCCCATAAGGTGACACTGAGAAAGGCCGGGAGGAAGTGAGGGAGCATGTAGTGTGGCTACCTGGGGAAGAGAGTTCCTGCACAGAGAGAGCCAAAGGGCAAAGGCCAGGCAGGAGCATAGCAGGTGGACTGGAGGAGCTGAATGAGAGGGAGTTGTGGGCGGGGTGGTCAGAGAGTCAGCTGAGAACAGAACTACGTGGCTTTTTGAAAAGGCCTTGCCTTTTACTTAGGAGTAAAAGCCCATTGGAGGCCTTTAAGTGTTAAAAGATGAGTCTGACCAATGTGGAGAAGAAATGCAAGGGGGTCACGGGCAGAAGAAAGGAAAACCACTTATGGGGCTATTCATTCATTATGGTCAGATTCTGGATACAGGGTTTGTTGATTGATTCCATGTCAGAGGTGACAGAAGAGTCAAGGGTGACATCAAAGTTTCTGTCTTGAGCAATTCTAAGAATGGGGCTGTCATTTACAGAAATGGGGAAGGCTGGGGTCCACAGAATTTCTGGCTTGACTAAGTAGTTTTAGGATGAAGTTGTGGAGATCCAAGGAGGAAAAGTTTGACTTAATCATTGGTTCCTTCATTTTCTCCATTCTCCCTGAAAATCTGATTTGTATTTGGGTCAATTCTACCACAGTTTTCAGAGGGGGAGAAATATGGTTCCATGGTATTAACTTTTAAGGATCCTTACCCATGCCTGTACAGATCAGTGTGGTCAGAGGCTCTCTGTGGGTAGATTCTGTCCCTGGTGCATCCCTCATTTCAGCTGCCATGTTGGTTTCCTAGGGCTACATAACCAATTACCACAAAGTGGGTGGTTTTCACAACAGAAATGTATTACCTCATAATTCTGGAGGCTAGAAGTCCAAAATCAAAGTGTTGCAGGGCCCTGCTCCTTCGGAAAGGCCTAGGGAATAATTCTCCCTTCCCTCTTCTGAGCCTCTGGTGGTTGCTGACCATCCTTGGCTTATAGACACAATCCTCCACTCTCTACCTCTATTGATGCCTGGCGTTCGCCCCTTGTATCCCTTTGTCTTTGTGTGGCCTTCTTATAAGGACAGCAAGCATTGGATGTAGGGCCCAGCCTAATCCAGGACGACCTCTTCTTAACTCGGTTACATTTCCAGAGACCCTGTTTCCAAATTAAGTCCCAGTCACTGGTTCCAGGGGTTAGAACGTCAGCACATCTTTTCATGAGACACAATTCAACCCACAACAGATGCTTTGATCTGGGTTTGATTATGAGAGTCTTTTGGGCTTAGATGTGTTTGAGGATGAGATGGGACCTATTGAAATCAAGTTAGAAAACAGGTCTCTCTGGGCTAGGGATGCCCCATCTGTTGGGATGAAAAACTTTTTTCTTGTCCAGCAAATTTAGGTAAACTGAAGATTTAACCCCTTCCCCAACAATTTTTTTGTTAAAAACGTTTCTTTTTCAGACTAATTTTTTTATTTTGGTTCTATATAGTATTTTTGATGCTGGTTATGAAAACAGTTTGTAACTCGTCTTCCTATAAACCATATTTTCTTAGTATACTCGTCGACGACTGAAAAAGAACATTTTGTGAAAACGAGTATACACGTTTCTGCCGGGGAAGGGGTTAAAAATAGACAAGTTCATTTTGCATTATTTTTTGAAACTTGAAGACTTTCGGATATGCAGTGATAAAATCATGAAGAAGTCATGTAACTGGAAGACAGAAGGAATAGAAATTATAAAATGAGGAATTTTAAAGATAAGAATCTCCTTGATTTTGACCTGAATTGAGGCGTGGACTGCAGGTAGAAAAGCTCTTGCTGATGTTTATGGTTTGCTGGTTGGGCAGCAGCTGGCAGAGGTGCAGCGCCGCACACCTGTGTCCCTGCGCCCTGACCCCTGGCTGACTGCTGCGGGGCACGGCTTGTTGGCTCCACTAGCCTTTTCCTTAGATGCCCACGGGGCTGGATGCTGCATGGCACTACCTGGCTGCTGCTCCCCTCTGTGCAACACCCATTACATATACATTCTTCAGTGGTGTGTCAGGCCTTTATTAGCATTTCCTTCTATTTAACTCACCGCAGTAGAGTCTAAAGGTTGTTTATCAAAGAAAGTTGAAGTTTCCACTCTTGATAGCACAATGATAGGATTATGTCAGGTCTAGCAGTGTAATGAAAATTCTTTAGCAAGAACATACACTTGTGACCAACAAATTATGGTTCTATGAGTTTTTATGGTGCTCCTGTTCGTAAGGAACTGTGTGGGAGTTGGACAGATGGGAGATAGGTAAAGAGATATTGCTTTTTCTCATCTTCAGGAAATTTGAAGAAAGAAGACAAACAGGAATTAGAGGTTCACACAAAAATTGATAAGGATTGGTGGATGCCACAATATTTGGCACCTGCAGGGAAAAAATCTCTAAATGTGTTGTGTAATAAGTATCTGGGTCGAGAGTGGGAGAAGCCAGAGGCAGGGATATGTAGTGAGGTTTAGTGGCACAGGCCTCAAGTGATAGTGGGATTGGATTTTCCTGCAGGGCCTACGGACCAGGCTGCTCACCTGTCCTTTGCCCTCGCCTTTCCCTGGCTCTTCTGGTCACGCTAGTGGTCGGTGTGAAGCCACAGCTGCTCGTGTGAAGGGGTAGGTTTGAGAGAAGGGCACTGGCCACATCTGCACCGCCTGGGCCAGTGCTCTGCATTACTGGCTTAGTCACACACATCCTTGGAGGGGATTATTTTGAGTTTTCCTCAAAAAGGGAGCCTTCATTTCATGTCTGTTAAATGGGAATGCAGCCACAACTATGTCTTCAGGGCAGGGACCAGTGGTGAAGCCACCATACTTCTGGGGTGACCACAGGGCGAATAATGTACAGACATCATTTCCTTTGACTAATCTTTTGTAATCCTGGTCCAGATGTGGCTCCTGAAAGTAAAGTTCTTTGTCTAAGGTGAGATTTTTAATTTAGGACCCAGATGGGGAAGGAGGTGAACTTCCGGAGGGTCTGTTTTCCTCCGTGTGTCACTGGCCTGGGTTCCTGGCAGGCAGCAGTTTCATTAGAAAAGCAGACTTCATCCTGACTCATCTGCCTCGGTGAGATGTGTGATACAACTTTTTAGGACTCAGGAAGCCTACTGTCTCGCTGGACAGAGCAGAGGGTACACAGTCCATTCGGCAGTCGTGGTGGTTACTGGACCTGGCTGGGCCCATGGAAAACCTTGAGAGACAGTCTGCTATGGGGCTGGAGCTTTGTCCTGGAATTTCCTGGCCTTTGTCTGGTGTAACCATGTACCCCGACGCCTGTTTTTAGAGTCTACTTCCTTCTAGGGCCGTAGTCGGCAAACTGCGGCTTGCGAGCCCCATGTGGCTCTTTGGCCCCTTGAGTGTAGCTCTTCCACAAAATACCACGTGTGGGCATGCACGTACAGTGCGATTGAAACTTCGTGGCCCATGCGCAGAAATCAGTATTTTGTGGAAGAGCCGGTATTTTGTGGAAGAGCCACACTCAAGGTGCCGAAGAGCTGCATGTGGCTCGTGAGCCGCGGTTTGCCGAGCCGCAGTTTGCCGACCACTGTTCTAGGGGGAAGAGTGCTACTGCCTTCTCCTCTGCTTTCTGTACCAAGCAACCTCCTCCCCTCATGGTCAGGGATCAGGTGTGTGTACCTGGCTCCCAATTAACAACATGCTCCTGGAGGTCACTGGTCACAGAGGGGAAGCCATGACCATTAGGCATAAAAGTCATATCTGCCAACCCGGCCCATTCACCCTAACCTTGTTTTTTACCTCACATTGCAGCAGAAAAAATCCTACCTGGAGCGCAGCGTGAAGGAAGCTGAGGACAACATCCGGGAGATGCTGATGGCACGAAGGGCACAGTAGGAAGCCTCTAGGGAAGCTTTCCCTCCTGACCCCTCCCATTCCTGGCAAGGACAAGGGGCTT